ATTTGGACAAACTCCCTGAGGAAAATATGGCTGCCAATGCATGTGGGTCCCCCTGAATAAGTCCCTCTAAGTCCTGAGAAGGGGCTCCCAGCTAAGGCGTGGCTCCCCTGCCACACACCTGAAAATGAAATCTCCCAAAAAAATCTCACTTATTTAAACAAAGGACCCAATAAGTCTCCCATTAGCAATGAAGTCTACAAGGACAAAGGTTCTAACTGAGTTAGTATCAGAGCAAACCTACTGGAAATAGTCCATCTTTCTTATATATGCACAAAGAACCCAGGATCAACGAGAAAAAGTCCAACAGAAGAAAAAGACTAAAATAGATACTGACAACAACTGATCACCATGGAAATGTAGCACATGATCTAGTAAAACACATAAACCACAGTATGTTTAATAATTTGAGAAAATATTGCACCCATAAAACAAAAACCATGTTGGAAAATAGTCATCCATACTGCAATTCATTAATTTCTCTTGTGGTACTTTGTATATTCACTTATGGTTATTTCCGGTCCTTGAAGAGAGGAATGTGGTAGTGACCTGTGTTTATGGAGTGAATTTAAAGTTGGTAGGCAACCAGCTCTCTTAGCGTGCCCCTTGGAACTGCTTTGGGCTCACATTCCAGGTGGGGTGATGCCTGTGTTCTGACAGTAGATCCTATTAATGAGACATTCATGTTTGCTCAGTGTCTAAGGTGGCAGAGCTCCAGTCGTTCTTGGTGGGCTTTTGTTTCTTCTGCTTAATAGAAAAGTAAAACTAATTGTTTTAGTGATTTTTTTCCAGGCTGTTCTTATGTAAGTATACGTATAACCATGCCATTTTAAACATTATATCTAATCTTTTGATAAATCTAGGGACATCATGTGAAAGCTCAGGCTCTTTCTGGATTGGGAAGAAGTAAGGAAGTGTTGAAGGAATTCCTCTGCTGCCTGATTTTGAATCCTGAATGTAACTCAGTGAAGAAAGAAGCTCAGAAGGTGTGATTTCCTATAAATGACTTTTCCATTGTCTTATTTCCAGCCTTCGTGCCCATGCTGAGTAACTCTTGTATGTAAAATGAACAAAAATATAATTCCGAATATTTATGACAATGTGATATTGTCAAGCCCACAAGATTTATGCATTCAGTAACTCTCATCCACTGATGAAGCAGAATGGTCCTGAGATAACCAGTATACACACATCTCAATTCTGCTGAAATCATGACACGTCTTAGGTGAGACAAGGTTGATGTATGTGGCTGGGGAGGCAAAGTGTTGCTCCCTAAAGTCTGCAATTTTAAGTGTTATAGTTTGTGTAGGAGCCCTGTTGAAGACATTGTGATATATGCAAAGTAGAGCAATTCAGCTTTGTAGGTTGATTCAACCTTTCAGTGAAGCTTCACCAGCACGATGCAGGAATAGCTGCTCTTTTATGCAGATCATTAGCCCAGCCTTATTAGAGGCCATTGTCACACTTAATGTAGGAATCTACTCTGTAGAGAAGCCTATGTCATAGTGACACAGTCTTAGCACTGCCAGTGACCAGGAGCTCTTGTTTTTATGTGTTTCTCTATTTTAACACTATTTATTGCCAACTTCTACCATACATTATTCTGTCATTTCCACTTGACAGTTCTAGTGCAGTTTTATTTTCTAGAGCAAGAGAAAATGATTCTGTTCTTCTTTCTTCATTTTAAACCATCTTAGATATTTGAGAGCAGCTGTTGCCTTTGCCTTAAGTCATTCTTTGGGCCAAACATCCTTTTCCTATCAACAGGGTTGGTGAGGGTTTGCCTCTGGGTGCATTCTAATGTACCCCAAATTTCAGCATCTGTATCCAACAGCTACAGGTGGTGAACTTTTACCTTCCCTTGTGTTCACATCATGGGGTGTGTTTATTTTTAGCAGGATACCATCACACCATTTGGCTTTTATTTGAACTGGTAGCCAAGACAACTAGATTGTTTAAATGAGAACTTTCTAGCAATATTTTTTATCCTTTCCTTGTGCGGTTGATTGGTCTTTGTTAATCCTGTTAAATTGTCTCTTGTTGGCTTTGGCCATTGTTCCAACTTGTCAAAATAATAGTGGTCTCCAATTCTGCTATTTTAACCATCTCTGCCTGCTTTGTCCCACCTGCAAATTTCACGAGAATCGTCAAACATGTCTCATCTCAACTGATCTTTACAGCAGCATCATGAGGAGTTCAGCCTGAGCTCAAGGAGGCTAAGTAGATTCACAGAGGTCCCAGGACCAGAAGTTAGGTCTTATGGGTTCTTATCTGCCTGGTGCTTTTTCAGACGTGATGTTTTTCCCTCTAGCAGCCTGTGGCTGGTAGAGACCGTCTTATCACAGGCAGTGCTGAAATGATAGGAGCTTGTTGATGCCCAGGAAACGTGGTACCCTCCCTGGCAGCCCCCCACAGCCCTGCTGAAGCTCCTCAGAGCCAGTGCTGAGGACACCAGTCCCTGCTGAGCTGCTGTCCCTCACATCTGCAGAGGTCACGGGTTGTGGTGTACTCATCTGTCACATGAACAGCAGTGGAGATTCTTTGTTA